TGTCTAGGCTGCAAATGCATACAGAGCTGTGGGAGCACCCAGGAAGCAGTGCCTGTCTCTTCCTGTGGGAGCTAGGAAAAGTTTCCCAAGGCTGGGCTTGGTCCTGGGTCTTGAAGCTTGCCTTAGAATTCCCTGGGACCCTTCGGACAGAGAGGAGTGTATGTGAAGGCACAAGGGCAGGGAAGTTTTCCTGAAATGCCTGGAAATTTTTTTTAAAAACCTCAAAATCCTCATTATCCACACAGCTCTTGAGTACTGCTCCCCAGGTCACGCTACAAGGAAAGCCCTGAGGGTGTATGAGACATCTCGCAGGTAGGAGAGTGCCAGGCCTTGCTGCCTGCTGGTCCCTGCTCAGGGAGAAAGGAGACAAGAAATAGGTGGGAAATATATCCCCTTGTGGTCTTGGTTCATTCAGCTCACGATGGCTCTGACTTTTACTCACTCAACACATATTTATCGAACACTTCTATATGCCAAGCTCTATTTGAGAACCTTGGATCATGTCAGTGAGAAAAACCAAGGTCTCAGTCTTGGAGGCGCACACATTGTTGTGGGGGACGTGAATCCATCTGAGCTCCCTAAAGCAGGGAGGGCACCCCCAGTTCACCAGTGCATCCTCAGGGACCAGCTTGGACCCTGATAGGAAATATTGCTCAATAATTGTTGAAATAGCCTATTGCTTAACAGTTTCATAAGTCCTTGATGGTAAGAAAAAACTCGGAAAAAGGCAAATGATTTCTTTGCTGTAAGAGATCTGTTGTGTTAACGTGTAATTGATCTTTAGTTACAAAATTCTTAGTCACAGAGGAGAAAAATACTGAATATACTCTAGCAGGGGAACTTTTCCCTCATTACCCAAGAACTTGACATCCACTAGAAAAAGTCTTTTATTCACATCACTAATGTGATGTTTGCATGATAATGACAGGCCATACTGAATTTAAGTGTTTTACTGGCCCGGGTCAAACTTTGAGGTCAGAAGATAATTTGGAAGGACAAGTTAAAGGGAGGAATTGTCTCTTCCCACCCAGCTCCCAAGAAATGAAAGGAGAAATGAAAAAACGTATTGTGCTGGCATTGAAGTTCCACCCCTCACTAGCTGAAATGGTTCCCAAGTCCCAAGTGTCTCCCAGCCTTGGTTTTCCATTTTGATTTTGGAGCTCAGGCTTCCTTCCCGTATACATTTCCCCGTTGGTTTGATAGTACAGAGGGACAGGTGACAATATGAAAGAGCTGAGAATGTTGTTCAGAGTTGTCAAACAGAACAGGACAAAACCAGGCACTGCTGGGAGCTTGCAGGCAGGAGTGTACATTTCCGAGCCCAGCCTAGGGCGGGAGGGAGAACAGGAGGGAGGGTCAGGAAGGAGGGCAAGTGCTGGAGCATCAGTGCCCTCCCTGGGTGTCCTGACCGCCCGTGGGGGCCAGCACTGAGTCTCAGGAGGTCATGCTTTTGTGCTGACCTAAGGGCCAGCAAAGAAGCCTTGGTGAGGAGAAGGTTCAGCAGCAGGAGGATGAAAAGAAAAGGGAAGAGAGAAGAAAAAATGGAAGTAGGTCAAGGGAAGAGCAGAATTTGTCCCTGTGAAAAGTGGTAGGCTTTCCTGCCAGAGGGGAGACAGGATCTGAACAAGACCAAGGCTGTGGGACCCTGGCCTGAGCTCTCCCTGCTGGGTTGGGGACAGACAGTGCAATTCGTGAGCGAAAGCAGGGTTTGCCTGCCTGACAGGTTGAAGGAGCAGCTGGTGCTCCGGGGGCTTGGGGGCCCTTTGCTCCTTGGTAATAGCGGAGCTGTTGGGATCCATTCCACGTGGAGAGCAATGCACCCAGCTCAGGAAGCTTGCCAAAGCAAAGGCAGGAGATGAACCCCAAGTTCTGACAGCTTGCCAGAGTGCCCGCTGCTCAAATGCTGGCAAGAACATTTGTTTTGAGAATAGTTTACCATAATGAATTCTGACATCATTGCACTGTCTCAGTCAAGGGTGTTGAAATGGAATAAATGACCTAATGTCAAGGGTCTGTGGAAACCCTCAAAACCAGGGAGATTCCCTTGGCTCTCTTGTCTTCATTTTGGAGCAGGGGATTTTAAGCAACAGTTCACGTTAGATATTTAATGGATCTCAACATGTTAAGAATAAATACAGATTAGAGATATGAAGGCAATCGTGGGTTTTGTTTACTTCCCCCAAATTGGGTTATCTCACAGCATTTGGAATATAATTCATGCAAATTCACTTCCATTTTTCGTTCCTTTCTATCATGATTATCCATGTAGCTTAAAACAAAATTTTTTTCCTGCTCTCATAGTAACAGTGGAAGTGATTAGTTGGATAACATTATGTGATTAAAAAAGGTTTGATTCGTATAGGACTTGCTGAGAATTGTATGTTTTTGCATTGGGGACGCCTTAAAATGTGCAGTCTTTCACCCCCAGTCCTTTCCTTGCTGTCAGGTTGTCTGTGGTTGGGCGGGATCAGCACACAGCTGTCCTTCCCTGGGCCACCGTCATTTGAATAGGCCACAGCCTCGGGCCTTCTCCGTCTACGGTTATTGTGGACTCTTTGTTTACAAGCAGGATTCTTCCCAGCTTGGAGAAGAATTTGATTTTGAATCCTAAACTCTTTCCAAGAATAAACTGTAAACAGTTTGACAAAAACTCACATTGGCTTCAAAGGCTGAATTGGAAATACGCACCCAGTTGCGGGTTTTGCCTCATCGTGTGGCTCCTTCGGTCAGGAAGACTTACTTCCTCTGTTTCTCCACCAGAGGGCCCCAGTCCTGCATGGGAGAAACCATCGTGCGCCTTAAAGGCGAACTGAATTTCTGTATCCATCCTTTCTTTAGGCTGCCGAGGGCATTACCCTCAGACACTGGGCTTCACCTGGGCCAGTGGATTTGCTTTCCCGTTTTGAACCAGTGTCTAGGAGTATCTCACTAGCTGTCATCCCTGGAGCACACAGAATTGATGTTATAAATATATTAGGTAATTTGCATATTAATGGTGCAAAGCACAGACCGGAGCTCTTGGATTCGTATTTTGTTCTTTCCTCTAGAGTTACACTTCTGTTTTCAAGCTCTCATTTACCCAGGAAGGTAATAGAATATGGTAGAAAGCTCCCAGCTCACCCTGTCACTGGGTTTGTGAACCTGAGCAAGCCCTTTCACTTCTGTGTCATAATAGACCAGCTTGTGTTGGATCGTTTATAGCTAGAAAATTCTGTGCTTCTATAACTAAGTAGCTCGTTCTGCAGGGAGGGCTTAGGAGGCATTCTGAATGACCAATTCTTATTTGTAGCCTTCCCCCGGGGTATAATGTTTAGATTTGATACTGCTTATTCAAGGCCTAATTTTCACCCTAGTAAATCATCCCTTTCTAGGAGGGTCTTCAATTATGTTTCCTCGGCCAAACGCTTATTTCATACAGTGCAAAGTATGAGTGTGAAAAATAAACATGGAAAAGAAAATAACTTTCCTTTTGTACATAGTAGGAGCTTAATTAGTGATTCTGGAATAAAATTAGACTACCATATCCATACCCATGCCTTTTATAGCTGGAGCTATTTCCTTCCCTCCGTGTTACTTAAGAGAACTAAGCTTTAGTCCAAAGCAAATGCACTTTGTTGCCTGTGAATATGGATTGCATAAAAGCAAATGAAGGAGAAAGCAGAGTAGATTGCTTGTCCTAGGGCCTGTTTACCTAATTTTTATTCATGTCCCCGTTAGATTTCCTTTAGTGCTGCTTGGAGTCCTGAGCACAAGCTTGTCTTTTTATGCCGCCATAAAGCTTCTGATCTGATATAATCTGATATGTGTGGGTGAGAGGAATACGGGAGTATTTATATACCTATGCCAATAAACCATTATCTTAAAGTTCTCAGGCCATTCTTGTGAATGAGAGCCCTGGGATGTTGTGTAGATATAAGATACGAATTAATAGCCCTCATGAGTGCTTGTAACTTACAGAACCCACATTCAGCTTGATTTAATGCCTTAGCATGATTTGAAATGTCATCCAAGAAGAGAGCCAAATACCTAGAGCATCTGCCACAGCCTGCAGAGGCTGACAGGTTTGCACCGGCTGACCTGCTCTGTGGCTTTTTGGAAAGACGAGATGTGTTCTAATGAGCAGGTTATAAATATCACCAAGTTATGTCATAGGTGGTAGCAGCGCTCAATGTAAAGGGACCAGCAGGAAAGTGTTCCCAGCTGAACCAGCCGGGCAGTTTTCAGAGAGGACAACAAGTGGGGCTTGAATATATTGACCAGGATGTTACTACAGAATTATTTGTGCCTTAACGAAATACGTCACTCAAACATGCCTCCGTGGGGTGTTTGGGGCAGTGAGGTGAGATGTGTTCTCATCACGCTCAGGGAGATGGGCTTCCAGTCGTCACACTCACTCGCAAAACAGACCTCTGACCCGCTGCTTCCTGTTGTCAGTCCAGGGTTCAGAGAAATTGGTTTGATGAATTTACTGGACAGTGGTTTTTATGTTCTCAAAGATGCAGAGTCGTCGCTTGGTGGAGTCCGTGATTTTTTTATACCTTTTATCTTTGTCCTGCCCATAAAAATTGCAACAAGAAGCCTTTCCCCACATTACACACAGTGCCTTGCTGATATTCCTGTACTCTTTTACCTGGGGTTGCCACTTACCTTTTAAATGAAAATGTAGATTTCACCCCCACTCTGCAGAGCCATTCTAAGTTTGAAGGTAGACTCTTGTAAGAGGTCTTGATTTTTTTTTTTTTATTGGCTTCAGAACTGATTGTCAGATTTTTATTTTCTGGAGAAAATTTGGTGGGGGTTAGAAAGCACAAAAGACCATCAATCTTAGGTCATGTTTGGTCAGAGTTGACCAAAGAGGGATCAACCTGTGCAGAATAACTGTTTGCTTAAAATCCATCCAACAGATTTTAGGTAGACAAAATGCGTTGAAATATGCATATAAAATATTTAATGTCAATACGTGTCAGATAGAAACTCTGTCAAATTCTGTGTGCACACAGGAACTTGACAAGAGGAGTCGGAAGGTTTAGAGAGCTTCTCAGAGCAGTTGAAACGAGAACAACTCAAAACCTGCGAATGGTAAGTGTGACCAGTGACTTGTTTGAGGCCAGCACAGTGCTTGTCTCATCTATGTTTACATTTGTATGTTTTTATATTAATATATAAATAGTAATTAACCCATTTAAAGCATACGATTTAATGGTTTTTAACATATGCACAGAGTTGTTTAGCTATCACTAATATTTAACTTCAGGACATTTTTATCAAAAGAAGCTATACTTATTAGTCGTCACTCCTCATTTTCCCCTTCCTCTAGCCCCTGGCAGCTGCTGACTTATTTAATACTTTCTGTTTCTATGGATTTGCCTGCTTTTGACATTTTATATAAATGGAATTATGTCATATGTGGTCTTTTTGTGGCTTCCTTCACTTTTCACGATGCTTTCAAGATTTCTCCATGTTGCAGCATGTATCAGTATTTCTTTCATTTTTATTGCCAAATAATATTCCATTGTGTGGATATATCACATTGACTTATCCATTCATCAGTTGATGGACATTGGGTTGTTTCCACTTTGGGGTTATCACAAATAATGTTCTTATGAATGTTCAAGTACAAGTTTTTATGTGGACATACGTGTTCTTTTCTCTTGGATGTGTACCTAGAAGTGGAGTTACTAGGTCATATGGTGACTCTGTGCTTAACATGTTGAGGAACTGCCAGACTGTTTTCCAAAGTGGCTGCACCATCTTACACCACCAGCAATTCCGAAGGTTCCAATTCCTTCACATCCTTGCCAACACTTGTTATCTTTTTAGTTGTAGCCATCCTGGTGGGCATGCAGTGATATCCCAGTGTGGTTTTGATTTGCCCTTTCCTGATGGCTAATGATGTTGAGTATCTTTTCATGTGCTTGTCGGCAGTGCTCTCTTCTGAAACCTAAGGAGTGCAGCCTGTGGGGCAGGTAAACTGTGGCCCTCCTGGATGCCAGTGTGTGGACGGGATTGGCTATATGCTTATGATTCATACCAAAACCCACACAGAGCAATGCAGATTAGATCCTGATGGGAACTAGTTGTTTGGCCAATGATGTTGACTATAAAACTTAGAAAACAAATCCCGTTGACTTGAAATCTCTCTCTTCCTTTTTAATCCTTTCCCTTTCCTGTCGAAGCAGGTTCATTAATTATACCTCTGCAGCTTACCATGTAGAGCCATAACCATTTGGTATTTGGGTGAAGGCCTGGTGCTTATTAGAAGCTAAGCAAATGTCACATGTCACAATTGATGTAGCCACCCCCATGTAAGATTGCGATTTCTTTTGTCTTTTGTCATCCATGCTGTTGTCCTCCCTTTATCATCAATCATTTAAATGCTGTGGGAAATTATTCAGCTGGGCAAGGCCAAGAGATTCATGTTACCAGGAAATGAAGGCATTAACTTCATTTGGTGTCTTCAGAGTTTTAGGAGATAGATGTACAAATTGTGGGGCCAGATAGCTAAGCAGTAGGCTTTGCTAGAATTATGGGAGTTGAGACAGTGTGAGCAACTTCACAGACACACACACACACACACACACACACATATACACCGCCCTACCACTAAGAACTCACTTGGCCCTTGATGTGATTTATAGGTATCTTAAAAAGTTCAAACAAAACATTTAGATTTTTAGGGTTCTTCAAGACAAAAGAACCTGCAAGAACATGGATAAAAATTGTTGCCTGCTGTCTTTTCTCTCAAATTGACCTACTCCCAGCATTTCATAAAACTTATCAACTGGTCAGTGTGAAGAGCTTCTTCCAAGATGCGGAAGCATGATGAAAGTAATGGATTGAATTGGCAGGTGCTTTCATCATTGTTTTAAAAGTACATTAAAAAGGCCAATCTTTAAAAATTGCTTAAATATAGAACATTTGTTCATATTGTTGACCCCCAAATATATATATTTGATTAAGGAAGTGAATGTTTTTCCCCATTAAAAGGTGTGAGTGCAGTAAATACACCTCAGGAATCTGCACACTGCTGACTTCAACATTATTTTACCAAATTAGAGAATATCCTCCATTATTGTCTAAGGTTTATAATTTTCAAATCAATAGATTTTAACTTTTAAAAATCCTGTGATGGCCAGGCTCGGTGGCTCATGCCTGTAATCCTAGCACTCTGGGAGGCCGAGGCGGGTGGATCGCTCAAGGTCAGGAGTTCAAAACCAGCCTGAGCAAGAGCGAGACCCTGTCTCTACTAAAAAATAGAAAGATATTCATTGGCCAACTAAAAATACATAGAAAAAATTATCCAGGCATGGTGGCACATATCTGTAGTCCCAGCTACTTGGGAGGCTGAGGTAGAAGGATCGCTTGAGCCCAGGAGTTTGAGGTTGCTGATGCCATGGCACTCTAGCCCGGGCAAAGAGTGAGACTCTGTCTCAAAAAAAAAAAAAAAGAAAAAAAGAAAAAAAATCCTATGAGGCAGGATTCTGAATAGAGATATGTTAGGAAGGAAGGGGAGGGGTTCGTGTCAATGTTTGTTTCTGACAAGGCTAGTGAAGAGGCCCCTGAAGAACGTCTGGGCAGACGGGAGCTGCTGACTGGTTAGTGTTAACAGGAGGGAAATGCTACCCACTTGTGTCGCACTGAGGTACAGGTGTGCCTTTTTGATCTCAGTTGATGATCTTCAAGTGACCTAAGTTAAACTGTTTCTGATTCCTTGAGTGCTTCACCAAAGATGTGCATCAGAATTATCTGAAGAACTTTGAACACATACATATCTCTATGCCTGGCCTTAGACGTTCCAACAGAGTAGGTATGGGACAGGGCTGAGAATATGTGTATTCTAAAGTTTCCACGTGTCATTCTTTCCCACCCTAGTTGAGATGCACTTTCTTGGTCTTATTCATTGGTGTCTGGGTTTACACTGGACATCAGAAAGCTTCTTCAGATAATGCCATTCATAAGACAGTGCTTCCAAATTGCAAATTTATGATCTTCTTATGAGATGGAAAAGTTGATTGGTATATTCTATCTGGACCATAGCAGAGAAGGATTAAAAAATACAGTAATTCTACCCCTAGGTATATACCCCAAAGAATTTAGAACAGGTGGTCAAACAAAAACTTGCATGCGAATGTTCATAGCAGCACATTTATGATAGCCAAAAGGTGGAAATCAAATATCTATGAACTGATGAATGGGTACAGAAAATGTGGTCTATCCATGCAATGGAGTATCGTTTAGCTATAAAAGGGAATCAAGTACCAATACATGCACAGTATGGATGAACCCAAAGGCATCATGCTGAGTAAAGGAAGCCAGTCACAAAAAGACCCATATTATATAATCCCATTTATACAAAATGTCCAAAATAGGCAAATCCATACACACAGAAGGCTTATTAGTTGTTCACAGAGTCTGGGAGGAAGTAGAATGGGGAATGGTTGCTTAAAGGGTATAGAGTTTTTTGGGGGGACTGATGAAAATGTTCTGGAACTAGATAGTGGTGATGGTTGTACAATATTGTGATTGTACCAAATGTCATTGGATTGTACACTTTAAAATGGTTAAACAGTTTCTGTTCATGTCCTTTGCCCACTTTTTAATGGGGTTGTTTGATTTTTTTTTTCTTGCTGATTTGCCTAAGGTTTCTTTTATAGATTCTAGTTATCAGCCCTTTATTGAATGTATAGTATGTAAATATTTTCTCCCATTCTGTAGGCTGTCTATTCACTCTAATGATTGTTTCCTTGGCTGTACAGATGCTTTTTAATTTGTTCAGGTCCCATTTATTTATTATTGTTGGTTGCTGTGATTGCTTTTGGGGTCTTGTTCATAAATTCTTTGCCAAGGCTGATGTCTATAAAAAATTTTCCAGCATTTTCTTCTAGAATTCTTATGATGTCATGCCTTAGGTTTAACTCGTTATCCATTTCAAAAGAAGATAGACTAATGGCCAAGAAACGTTTGGAAAATGTTCAACATCTCTAATCATCAGGGAAATGCCACCTGATAAATTAAAACCACAATGAGATATCACTTAACTCCAGTGAGAATAGCTTTTATTAAAAAGTCCCAAAACAGCCAATGTTGGCATGGTTGTGAAGAGATAGGAACACTCATACACTGTTGGTAGGACTGCAAACTAGTACAACCTTTATGGAAAGTAGTATGGAGATATCTCAAAGAACTAAAAGTAGAACTACCATTTGATCCAGCAATCCCATTACTGGGTATTTACCCAAAGGAAAAAAAGACATTCTATAAAAAAGATATCTGCACTCAAATATTATAGCAGCACAATTCACAATTGCAAAGATGAAGGAACAACCTAAGTGCCCATCAATACATCAGTGGATTAATAAAATGTGCATATGTATACTTTGGAGTACTACTCAGGCATTGAACTAATACCTCTTATATTAACCTGGATGGAACTGGAGCCCATTGTTCTAGGTGAAGTATCACAAGAATGGAAAAACAAACACCATATGTATTTACCATTAAATTGGTATTACTTGATCAACACTTATGTGCACACATGGAAGTAACATTCATCGGGGACCAGGCAGGTGGGAGGCGGGAGGAGGGGATGGGTGGTGTGCGCTGTCTAGGGGATGGGCACGCTTGTAGCTTTGACTCAGGCACTGTGAAGGCAATTTATGTGACCAAAGAATTTGTACCCCCATAATATTCTGAAATTAAAAATAATTAAAAACAAAACCAAAAACAAATGGTTAAACAGCCTGAGCAACGTAGTGAGACCCTGTCTCTACAAAAAATAGAGAAACTATCTTAGCACAGTGGCACACTTGTATAGTCTCAGCTACTTGGAGGAAGGAGGATTGCAGGAGCTTAAGGTTGCAGTCAGCTGTGATGATGCCACTGCACTCTAGCCTAGGCAACAGAGTGAGGCCCTGTCTCAAAAATAAAATAAAGTGATTAAAATGGTAAATTTTGTGTTATGTGAATTTTACTACAAATTTTAAAAAATATACAAAAAGTGCGTTTAATGACCAAGTTTGTACATAAACATCCAGGCCTACCTCCTTCCTTTAATTTGAAGTTTATTTTATAGTAACCAATGATTTTTAAGCATTTAAACTACAAACTAAATATAGGTCGAGTAAAAGGTATGATAGATATTGGTGATCTTGTTGGCAATTTCTCATGTTTATCTCATTTTCTGAACTTCATTTGAGCTTTCCATGGATACAACCAAATGTCCTTTCAGTGCACTGATGAAGTGATGCCTTTAAAATATGCAGTCACATCAAAATCCCATTTAAAAATCTCACAGGAAGGTTAATATTCTAAAGGAAAATGAGATTTATCATGAGCTATCTAGCAGTGGACAAGCAAACTGTTGAGAGCAGAAATTTTTACAACTTTAGAATTCCTGCATGGCAGATATATCCAGAAAATGAAGTTCCTTGTTCATTTTTTTTCCTTTTAACATTTATTTCTCAGCTATAGTGAGTGGAAGTTATTTTTGCCAGTTGAATTTTCTAGCAGAAGTCATTAGTTTATATGATTGCAATGAGATCAAAATGAAACTATAATGGAAGGTTTAAGAAAACAGTTCAGGAACTGTTTAGGTCCTGAAAATTGTGTTCTTATGAGATCTTTACAGATTGCTCAGTTGGGGATGATCAGAGTACATTTAATTTCAATTTTTTATAGACATTTAAAGCCAGTGAGTCTTACTTGGGAATAATCAAGAAAATTTGCCTTTACCCAGTGGTTATCAGAAACCACTAGGCTAGTGATTTGGTTGCATTTAAATTTCCTTGTGGTGTTTTAAGAGATTTCACATGGATAAAAGCTTAACAAAGCTTTCTTGTGGAACATTTTTTTTTTGTTTTTGGAAAGGCTCATTCTCTGGGAAGATGAGCATTCTTTATCTGCATCTTGCAAAGAATGCTAAAACCTGGCGGAAAACTCTGCTGGTTGAAATTTTATTGTGCTACCTCTGGTTGATCATGGGCAGTGTGGACTACCCTGGGATGCAGTGCTTCTGTTTTCAGAGGGATTTTTTTGAAAATTACTTATCCTCCTCTTTGTCACTAGAAGATTATGAGCTAAATGAAGTGATAGGCATCAATCAAAGAAATACTTCTTAGGACATGCCACATAGTCCTTCCCCTGTATACATCATACATGGTACTGTTCTAGGCAGTGGAATCCCAGAGGGTTTGGGAAAACATATTAATCTCCATCTAACTTAGGAGGACAAGATCCAGATGTTTCTGGGTTTTCACAGTGAGAACAGAGGTACCCATCCAGCTTCGAGGAAAGGTCTTTTTTGTTCAGGAACCCCAGGCCTCACTTTGCCTTCTCTGTTGCACAAGGCCGGGAGGCCCAGGATGCATTGAGGACAGAGTACTCAGGTGCTGAGTCCCAGGGTTGGGCCATGTAGGGCCGGCCATTGGTGTCTCCAAGAAGGAAAATATTCTAAATATCTACAGTGGACATCAGGTCATCAATGGAGAGATTTTTTTTTTCAGGAGTAACATCATCTGAGTATTGGCTTTATCAGATGTCAGTTTGGAGGTGGTGAACATATCGGCAGGTCACTTGTTATTTATAAGGTCACTTGGGAAAGGGCTTAGCTAAAAGTTTGAATTGTTTCAGGTTTAAAACATGTTTAATGTTCCAGAGCGTAACAGAGACAGGATGGCATTTGAAGTGTATGAACCTCTTTTGTTTAAAGAGTTCAGATGTCTTAGTGTATCATATTTTTTTTTCCTTTTTGTCATAAACAGGTATAATTTTCATCATAAAAGTAAACATTTTAAATTATGAGTCTTACAGTAGTGCTTAGCACAGAGTGATGACATAAATATTTATTGGATGAGTGGACGAATGAATGAATAATACAAATTAGATTCATGGCTATGCTTTTCCTCCTTTGTGTTCGTAGACAATAGCCAGGCAGCTGGCAGAGATCCTGTTGCGGGGTATGTGTGAGCAGAGCTATTGGAACCCTCTGGAGGAGCCACCGTGCCAGTCCCCTCTGGACGATCCTCTCCGGAAAGGAGCGAACACAAAAACCTACACCCTCACTCGGAAAGCCCGCGTCTACTCAGGAGAGAAGTATGCAAGTTGATGTCCTCACTTATAGCTCAGGGGATGGGAGGGAAACTCGGGAAAATTCAAGGCTGAGTAGAAGTAGGAGGGCAAATTTTTTTCCTCTAAAAGAAAATCAGATGAACAAGTCTCATTTGCTAATTTAATTGATACCTCATTACTTTTCGTAGCTTTGGCAAATATCTGTGCACTAGTGGGGACATTTTAAGTAGAGAAATGCTCTCATCTCAGTACTTGGCTGCCATTCACAGCTGTCACTATTGGTCTTTGGAATTTTTGTTCCACTTATTATAAGAAGCCCAGTGTTCCACAGCAGTCAACGACAAGCATATTTGTAAGCCAGAGCTAACATGTTTTCCATTCTTCACCAATTCCTCAATCCTTTTGTTTAAAATCTTGTTCTAAAACTGAACTAGATATAAGAAGGAGAATTAAATAATTTGAAAGTGATTGGAAGGTTATGTCTCCGTAGAACTTCTTTATCTTTAAAGAAGTTTTAAATTTGGGACATAATCACCTTGGAGGAAAACAGGCCAGAGAACCACATAGTCTTGGCATGAGGTCAGATCAGAGGAAGCGGGACACAGGAGGGAGCGAGACAGTAAGAAGGGCTGGGAGATAGAAACAGTTACTTATTCCCAGTTCTTCCTGTTAGGGCCTTTAATTCCCACCGTTGCCTGTTCCTACAAGGACAAAGCCTGATGGTTTTTCAGAATCTCTACATCAGTGGTCCTCACACTTTTTAAACAGGGGGCCAGTTCACTGTCCCTCAGACCGTTGGAGGTGCACACTGTGGGCCTGGGACCAGTTGGCTGCTAAGCAGGACAGGCAGCAGCAGCAAAAACACCTGGAGGGCCGGATAAATGTGCGAGGCAGCCCGCATGTGGCCCGAGTGCCGTAGTTTGAGGATGCGTGCTCTACGTGAAGGAAAGGAGAACATGCATGAACAAAGACAGATAACTTTGGTGTTATCAAATTGGAAAAGTGGCTAAGAGGCTGCAGGCTACTGCTTCAGACGCCCCAGGGAAAGCGCTGACGGAGATGGGTGACTAGATGCTCTCTCCATGTGTGACATCCGAAAATGATTATTGCATATGCCAAGGGAGACGGCATTTTTCAAGGCCGCTGTACATTAACGATCCTCTTAAGTTGACCCTGGTGTTTCTCTCCTTCATTGCCTTCTTCTTCAGTTTGCATTTCTTATGTGGATTCAGACAAGTTAGTGTATTCTTAGCTTTTTCTGTAGGCTTACTTTAATTTCATTTTCATCCCCCTTTTCCGTGGCCTCGTTGAACCACAGGTTTGTTTAATTCACAGCCTGTGTTTTCTCCTTAGTTCTTACCTGGATTCACAAAGCATCTGTCCTAGCATTGCCCAAGCTCTCACTTTAAAAATGCTGACTCCTCATTACGAACTATCTAGAACAGGTTTGGAGTTCATTTTTTATTATGAACTGTTATGCTGTATTTTATTTATTTTTAAAGTAATACTTATATCTTAAAAATAGACAATAGGGTTTTTTCCTGTTGTAGATATTCTTAATAACCAAGGTGCCAGGCACATTAAGAAACTTAGTTTTCCCTCTCTACCGCAATCCAGTTGGACACATGGACGGGGCTGTGTGTCTGTCTGGGTGCTGTTCCAGTGTGGCCCCGTCCCGTGAAGGTAGATTAGCTTACAGCGCTGGCCACTTCTCCTCTATTTCTTCAACTACTCAGACTGTGTCACTTTCTTTTTTTTTTTTGTTTTTTTTTTTTTTTTTCTTTTTTGACAATGTCACTGAAGTTTTTTTTTTTTTTTTATTTTTTTTTTATTTTCTGTGTCACTTTCAACATCAGATTTCCACCTGTGTAAGGAGAATTATGGAGGCAAAACGCAGATGGAGCATCCCCATAAAGGGAGGACTAAAGGGAACATCCCTAGTCTAGCACTAGTTACTGAGTCACAAGTTTCATTGCACACAGTATACATAATCAGGTTTTCTTAACTGTTTTATTGAGACATAATTCACGTATTATACAATTAAACAATTTAAAGTGTGTAATTTAGTGGCTTTTAATATACTCACATAGTTGTGCATCCATCACCACAATTGACTTTAGAAAATTTTCGTTACCCCAAAATAAACTCAGCACCTCTTAGCTATGGTCCCCCGTCACTCAGTCCTTTGAATTTCTGTTTGAATTTTAGGATCAGCTTGTCCATTTCTAGAAAAAAAAAAAGAAACTAGAATTTCAATAGGAATTGCATTGAATTTATAGATCAATTTGGGAGTATTGCCATTTTAAAATTATTAAGTCTTCTGATCTATGAACATGAGATGTCTTTCCATTTATTGAGATTATCTTTAATTTCTTTCAACAATGATTTTTAGTTTTCAGGATATAAGGTTTTTATTTCTTTTGTTAAACTTATTCCTAAATTTTGTGTATGTGCTAATTTTTGTTGATGCTTTCTAAGTGGAATTGTTTTCGTAATTTCATTTTTGGATTGCTCATTGCAAGAGTGTGGAAATAACAGTTGATTTTGTATATTGCAGAACTTCTTTATTAGTTCTAATAAATAGTTTTTTAGATTCCTTAGGATTTTCTGTGTAAAAGATCATGTCATCTGCAAATAGAAATAGTTTTATTAATGCTTTTTTCTTTTAACCTTGATGCCTTTTATTTCTTTTTCTTCCCTAATTGCCCTGCCTGGAACCTCTAGTACAATGTTGGATAGAAGTGGCAAGAATAGACATCCCTGTCTTGTTTCTTATCTCCATAGAGGGAAAGCACAAAGTATGGTGTTTAGTGTGGGTGTTTGTAGATGTCCTTCATCAAGTTGAGAAATGTCCCTTCTAGTTTGTTGAGTATTTTTATTATGAAAGGATGTTGAAATTTGTCAACTACTTTTTCCACATCAATTGAGATGATCACATGGTTTTTGTCCTTTATTCTGATAGTGTGGTTTATTACATTGATTGATTTCAGATTTTAAGCCAACCTGCATTCTTGAGATAAATTCCACCAGGCCATGGTATATAATCCTTTTCATTTATTGTTGGGTTCAATTTGCTAGTATTTTGTTGAAAATTTTATGTCTATATTCATAAAAGATACTGTTCTGTAGTTTTCTTTTCTTGTGATGTCTTTGTTTCATTTTGGTAGTAGGGTAATACCAGCTTCATAAAATGAATTGAGGAGTATTCTCTCCCCTTCTATCTTTTGAAAACGTTTGTGGAGAATTGGTATTAATTCTTCTTCAAATGTTTGGTAGAATTCACCAGTGAAGCCATCTGATCCTGGGCTTTTCTTCATGGGAAGTTTTTTGAATACTAATTTAGTCTCTTTACTTGCTATATGTCTATTCATATTTTCTATTTCTTCTTGAATCAGTTTTAGTAGTTGGCATCTTTCTAGAAGTTTATCTATTTCATCTAAGAATCTAGTTTGCTGACATACAGTAGTTCAGTCTATTGCCTTATAATGTTTTTACTTCTGCAAGCCTGGCTTGCATTTCTCATTTTAAAAATTTCAGTCTTTTCTTTCTTTTGGGGGGTCAGTCTAGCTAAAAGTTTGTTAATTTTGTTGATCTTTTGGAAGAACCAACTTTCAGTTTTGTGGATTTTTTTTATATTGTCATTCTGTTCTCCATTTCATTAATTTCCACACTAATCCTTTGCCTTCAGTTATCACCATCAGTTTTTAGCTTCCCGATTTTACATGTTCACCAACTCTACTTCTTACCTGGAATATTAGCGAAGAGGGAAAACCTGTTGGGGTTATAGTTGTTTGGGGGCTCCCTTGCTGCCAAGGCAGGACTATCTGATCAGTCAGCACTGTGGCGGAAAGGACATCATCACCGGGTCTCTTATGCTGGTTTGGAGGTGGAACAGGGAATCCATAGATCATGTTCAGACCTCATTTGGGCCAGTTGTCCCAAACGCTTCCTTTCCACTCAGTTTCTGATGAGAAGTATAAGTATAAATCAGAATTTAGGTGGCAGGGATCCTGAAGGCCCCAGCAGACCACAAGGGCCACTCAGGATAGTTGGTCTTAACGGGACGTAACTGAAAAGTGAGCTCCACCAGGAAGCTCCGTCCCTGCCACTGCGACCAGACATGAGACAGGTGCAGGATGCTCACTCTCTGCCCGCCTTGAATTTGGAAAGGATATAGAATGTCGAAATTTCTAGATAGGAAGAGAGGAGGGATCACCTGTCATCAGCCTCCTTGTTTTCTTCCTTCAGGGCATTTCCATGAAGAATTTTAATCAGCTTTTGATTACTTGTTTTTAGGGTAAGCTTTTCTTTGACACATAACAAACAGAGAGAAAAATAAACAAAAGTATAAAACTTGATGAATTTTTGCCAAGTGAATGTATCCATGTAATCAGCATCCTGATGAAGAAAACAGACATTGCTAGAACCCTGGAAGCCCTCTTGGCACCCTCTCCCACTTTGAAATTTATGTAAATAGAATTATACAGAATTCACTCTCTTATGTTTAACTTTTGTCTACCTTTATATTTGAAAGATTCACCCATATTTTTGCATGTGGCAGTAATTTTTTTTATTGCTGCAAGGTATTCCACTTTATGACTCTCCCCCAAAATATTGATCTGTTCTACTTATGATGTATACATGCGGATCCTCCCCCTGCCCCCCTGTGTCTTCTGTAGAATCAGATAATGACTTGGTTGTTTCCCACTGAGGGCTCAGGAACAGTGCCACTGTGAACATTCTTGTGCATGTTTCTTGGTGTATTTCAGCCAAGTATACTTTTCCTTTCGTTTTGGCCCTCCTTGTAAAAAACATTTGAAGTGGCTTAGATAATTAAATGCATTTTAGACTAGATAATTAGCACAATGTAAAACAGGAGATTAAAAACCACTGTTGTGGATGGTAGTTAATATTAGACAATATTTTCAGGAAGTGGATGATGAATGTTAGTGAGTGCCAGGCATTGGGCTAAACTCCTTTGTAGGTCTAGGAGGAAAAAGTAATTATCATGGAATACCAAGTATAGGTGGGAGCCTCCTATTAGCCAATGAGGAAGTTTTTCTAAGAATGGGGACACAGTTTAAAGTGGAAAGATTGGGTATGTTGAGGGGTCAGGACGGATTCTTGATGGCAAAACGGAAGCCGTGTAAACGACCAGCCGCACCACCGGCTGGCCATCAGCTCCTCGCCTCTGGTTCTCACAGCCCACCTGCACATCCTGGTCACCAGGAGCACAGAAGTCCTTATGCAAGGTGATGTGCCACGTGGGATTCACCTCATCCACTCAGCAGAGCACAGCTCAGTGGTCCTGGGCTGATCTACGTGAAGGACCTTTATTTCTTTGTTGTGAAGGAGTTTTTGACTTAAATGAATTAACAAAAAAGGAGAGGGCTGTGGTGAGGCCCTTTTCCTTTCTTGGTACCCTCATCTTTCTGCACAGTCCTGGAACTGACAATAGACTCTGCCTTCACATGTTTGGCAGACAGTGTGACTTGGGGTGTGGTGGGGTGGGGCTTCAGCCGTTCTTGGCTTTGAGTCTTCAGGTCTTACCTGGCTGGCTGTATTTCTCCAGGAATTTCCCTAGTAGCATCCCAGCTGGGCATATTAGAATTATAAAAGCACATTACTAGACCTTGGAATTTATGTTATCATTGTTTACAAACCAACTTTCTTGTGGGTTGGTGGTGTTCACAGCATTCCCTGAACCTAAATAGGGTCCTGGATGGTGCAGATGACCTTCAGACATCCAACTTGTCATTAGTCATGTAACAGCTAGAGGTGACAGAAGAGATGAAATGCAGTTAGATAAAGTTGGCTGCATTTCCTTTGTATGATTATTTCCACCACATACAGTAAAGTATTATCACCTATCTAGGGAAAACTTTAAGAGAGAGCTATTATCTGGGAGCCTTTGTTCCCTATGTCTTCTATAGAATCAGATGATGAGTTAGTAAATTCATCCAAAGTAAGTAAATGGCAGTTTGCCTAAAGGTCCCCAGTGGGTTGGTGGCATGACTAGGATTAGGACACAGCCCTCCAATTCTCAGCTCAGCAGCAGCATGGCACTGCCACCTCCTTTGCCAGCTCACCGGGTCGCGGGAGCTCGTCCTCATGCTGCTGATCTGTTTCCTTCCTGTCCGTGTATCTCACCTGCGTTGACCTTCCTCTGGGTCCAGGGCCCCAGTTTGCCCACTCTTCAAGGCTGAGGCCTGGGCACCCTAGAATCTCCCCCTCAGGCTCATGGACCCCAAAGAGGAGAAGTCACAAAAGGAAGGCCCCAACAATTTTGACCGTCCACCCTGGGCTCCATGCTTCCCTGAGTGAGGAAGAGGGAAGGAATGGCCAGAAGTGGGTCTAGAGAATTCCTATTTATTGAGAAGGAGGTTCTGAGTATGTAGTTTTCCAGGCATGTCTCTTACAACTATCCTTTCTCCCCGACTTCTTCCTCCCAGCCCCTGGAGCCTCGCAGTGCTTCTGAGCACCCACCTTGCCTGCCGCAATGGGGAGGGCAGGGAAAGTAGCATTAGAATCAGTTAATGTAAAAAAAACAAAAACAAAAACAAAAAAAAAAAAGAAAAGAATCAGTTAATGTGCTACTTGTTAGCAACTCTGGTAAAAATAACACGACCTAGCATTTAAGCAGGCTGGATGTCGCAAATGGAATTTGGAGATTATCCATGGGCTGAATTGGCTGGTGTGAAGTCCCAATTAGCATGGGCTCTCTCTTTTTAATTAATCTGGAGTTGGACAATGCAGAACTGGCTAGCCATGAAGAAAGGGGTTAATGTTACTGCTGTATTCACAAGGTCCCAATTGCATGTAAGCACCAGCCAGCGTTTCAGGAAATGATTGCTGGACATAGATAGACACACACACACACACACACACACACACACACGGGGGGGGGGGAGTGGGGAGAGGGGCTCTCTTAATTCAGGGCCTTAAGGCTCTATTTCTGAATTTAAGGGGAAAGAAGTATTCCATCTTCTGAAAAACCCTTATCACCTCAGGCTGACTCCTTAAGGAAGTCACTGCAAATCCCAGAATCTTGCTCCTCATTGTCAGGCCAGTCTTTTCTTAAAATTTTAGCCCTGGAAGAGCAATAGAAACCATCCCTCCAGTGGCTTTCTTACCTCTGTGATGTCAGAGTTGTAAGAAGAGCATCGGGCACTGTATTCTTTCTGTCTAGCTCTTTATCATCCTTTGATGCAGAACAAAAATTACCAGTGCTTCAAAGAGAACAAGTATTTATAATTACTTGGCAAACATTTTTTTTTTTTTTTTGCCTTCTTTGGGTGGAAATCTCTTCAATTAAATGATTGTAATGTTACCCCTGGGAAGATGTAAATTTAGTTTTTATTTCATCATCTTCAAAATATCCAGGAGTTTTTTTTTTTTAACCAACTTCATTTTAATTTATTGCAGACTCTTCTTCATTCCATGAAAAAAAAAAAGTTGAGTTTGGCCCAATTGGTGACAATAATCACATTTCTACTCAAAGGATTCTAGAGCTTTAAAACAAGAGGGGAAAAATGCTGCAAGTCTTTAAAAGTGGTCATGGCACAAAAAATAGGATATAGAGAATGCAGATTGGGGTTATGTTTGGGTTTTTATTGTTCTTTAATCCTGAGCAACATTGAGCTTAAAAGCTTTTTCTTTTAATCCAAGATTTTAGAGTTCAGCCAAATTCCATAAAATAGATTAATAAGATGGCTCTTGCCATAATAAAACATGTGTGTTTAAGATAGCTCACTAAATTCTTATAGTGTTATAGAAACTATTCAAACTGAAAAACTGCTTTCAGTCTCATTTCATCTAAATGACAATATATGTCAGTTAGCAGGTAAGAGGTAAGAAGAGTAGTAAAATGTCTGCAATTTATACCTCCATAATGGGTTTAGGAGAAAGCTTGTATTATTTACTGTTAGTTTATAGAGATCAAAATTTCTGCCTCTATAATAGCAACATACATTTTTTGGGGCTTTTAAACTTGGTTTTTACAACTTTACGTCACCCTTCTGCCTGCCATTAAAATGCATAGCTAAAATATATTAATTCTGTAGATTACCATAGAAGTAGGCAAATTAATTCAAGTGTCCAAATTATACACTATTTTTCCTGTGTTTTATATAAAAATCTAGAAGCTTTTAGCATTCAGTTCTGCTCGTATTTATGTATTTTATGTTATTTTAAAATTGCAGTATATCAACATTGGTTTCTTTTTACAGCATTTTTTGTCCTCAAGAAAATACTGAAGAAGCCCTGTTGTTATTGCTGATTAGTGAATCGATGGTAAGCAGAGTGTGTTTTTATATTGCTCTTCCTCTTGTCCCTGCAGTACCTTGTTTGGTATGACCATTCCATTGATATGGTGACTCTTTTTCTTGGGAGAAAATACTTTCTAGAGGGGATACCTGAGTAGGAAAAAACAGTAGAGCTTTAAAAAGAGGATTGTTTCTTCATTCTTGGACTTGCTAGCAATGTCCCTTGTTCAGCCTGGAGCTTGGCACTTCTCCAGTTAGCAGGTATCTTAATTCATTCATTTATCCACCAAGTATCTGTTGAACACTCATGCAATTGTATGTAGGTAAGCCACAGCTAAAATGACCACCAAAGGATCCTTAAAAAGAGAAAGAAGCTCCCAATGGACACCCTTTACAAGCCTTCTCAATTTGCCCTGGCGTGAGGGAAAGTTTTGAGATAAAAAACTTGCTGGACATGTGAATCTCTGGTCTACATAGCAGGAGCCTGATTAAACAGCCTTCATCTCCAAGCTCCCACCTGTTCCCAGGCACTGCAAGATCCTGGGCTGTAAGAGCTCACTGCTATTATTTGGCCATGCTGTTGGGAGGGAGTTTTGCTAGATCATCCCATTCCTTTGAAATGTTTTTCTTAGTGTTTGGCCAGGATATTGAATTTTAAGTCTAAAATTGCATCACTCATCATTTATTGGGTTTCTGCTCTGTATATTACGGCCCTGGCTTGAAATCAAGAGTAATGAGTGTTGTAATAGTTAATATCTCAGCAGGTAAATTATGTGTGCTAAGCACCTGAGCAGAACGACAGGCTCCTGGAACTCGAAAGGACTAGAGAACATCATGTCCATTCACCTCATTTTATAGATAAGGAGCCTGAGGCCCAAAGCAGGTGAAACGCATGCATCATGCAGTGGTCTACCCCTCCTTCTAGTAGGTTGTACTGTTCTCTCCTCATAACTTCCGCCCCACTGCAGGCAGAGGGAGAAAAAGGAAACATAACTTGAGCAAGAAAAGGCATTTCCCTTCTTCTGCTCCCAAACACACTGTTGAATTGGAGGTATGAAACACACTCAGGTAAAAGACTTAGAAATGAAGCACAAGAAGAATATCTGTGTGCTGAGAGCAGGAGGGATCGGAGGAGGCCATGAGTAGTAGTCAGGGAGGGTAGCTCTCTTGCCTCATTTTAAAACCTTGGGTTTTCTTGTTCTGTGGAATGGCCCAGAGATGTTTACAAGAGCAAGACTGCCTGAGTTACCACTTGAAGTTCTTTGTCATCATCAGGATTCCTCTCAAGGAAACAGGATGCCCCTTGGCTCCTCTAGCCTTGACTGTCAACTGGTAACTTAGGATAGTCTCATTTTCATTCTCTACTGTGCCTTGGCACAGTCGAGGAGAAGGCACATAGGTGACCAGGCTGACACTTGGTGGCATTCAAGTGGACAAGTCTCACCAGGCTTCTTCACCAGTTCATGAATGGCACCAGCAATGTTGGCCTTCTAGCTAACCTTATACCAAGGTTAGACCCTCATACCAAGCTGGACTCCTCATAGCTTCACAGATAGTTTCCTTTGGGCAAACTTGATTGGTCATAGTGTAAAAGTTCTGAAAGCGTGATGACCGTACATTTTAGATTACTTGGCTGATTCTGATTGAAAATATTGTGTTCCACTGTCAGATCGTGTGTTCCAGTCTGGAATTTGGAAAACATGGCCACATCTCTAAAATGCTCATTCTAAGTGTAGATATCTTTGGAATGATGTCTTCCACTCTCCTGCTTCTTACTTGAAGTGGTATAAACTAATAATACTCAAAAGTTGAGATCTCTTTGAGACAGTCAAATTTGGCTCTGTGGTGTTTAATTTCCAGAATAATCTCTCCAGGGGATGGTGGAATCCAATGGTGTCACCAGTAAACGTGAAAGATTAGATTTCTAACCACAATAATTGTGTTCTCCCTGTAAGTCATTCCATAAAATGTAGGTAAAAATCTAAATTCGGTTGCCTTTGGAAGCCTTTTTTCATGTCCTTCAACGCCTTGATTTTTCAGCTTTTAGATAGAAAATGTATGTGCTCAATTTCAGAACCAAAATGAAAATTGCTATGTTTTTTGGTGTCTGAGAAAATTGTGTTCTTTGTTGGTTCTGACTTTAACTTAGGAGCATAAATTTGACCATAGTCTCTCCACCTACAAGAAATCATTTGGAATTACTGCTTTCTCACTGCAAGTGGAATTAGTTTTCCATTGGAGAAGGGGATTATTGAACTATGTTTTGCATAGCTACCACTGAGACAATATCTGGAATATTTATTATTTGTGGATCTGTTAGAATATACCTTTTTAATCAAAAGATATGGATACTTTCTTTAAAAATAAAAAAAAATCATTTGGCATAACTTGAAAATGTCTCATAAATAGTATTTTTGTTTTGTTTTATTTTGTTCTCTTCCAGGCATTGGTCTCAGTATGGAACATTTATAGCAAATAAATGAAACGAAACCATTTACAGCGGGTCCTATTTCCATCAGAGATTCCTTTGTCGGGCTCAAAAGGCAGTCTTAACAAGAAAAACTTAGAATGAAATCTTCAAAAGCAGGCCTATTTCCATAAGAGATGACTCACTTTGTAGGAAGTGGCCTGTCTTATATATTCTTATTTGTCTTTGACATTTAAGAGCAAGGAATTTTAAAGTGAGTAAGTACTGATGGGTGGCTAAAAGTAAATGCCTTGGACTTACACACAAAAAGAAGGCATTTTGTCTCATTAGTGAGAGGGAAGGTGTGCGTGTGGCCTTTCCGAATGTCAGGCAGGAAGATAAACATCAGCCTTCAGGGACAAGTGCCCCCGGTCCTCATGTACCACTTTCCCGGGAAAGGCTGAGTGGCCCTTGCTCTGCTCCTAGGACAGGTGGATCTGGAGACTTCTGTTAATTAGCAGGGAAAAAAGATAGGTGAAATCTAACTTTGTTGGGTCTGAACTCCCTATTAGGGAAAAAAGGAGAATGAGCTAGCTGTTAAGACTCTAACAAATGTAGTATATCTGGAGAAATCTGTAGAGAAATTAAATTTCAGGAGTAATGGAAACAAGTTGCCATAAAGAACATTTGTTTTCTGGATGGATGAGATTAATAAGCTCAAATATGCCTGCTATATTTCCATGCTAAGCAGTAGAGATGTGAAATTGACAAGGTGTTCTCTTGAGTCCTCTGTGATAATATCTTTGAAAGTAAAAGTCTGCTTGTTTCTGTTTTCCCTTATATGTCTGTTTTGTGCTTCCCTAACCAAGATGGAATTGGTATTTGTGGTCTGTTCCAGTTGAGATGTCATATAGGGATTTGAGTGTTGCTTGGTAAAGAGGGAAAGTATGAGGTATCTCTGCAGGACTGATGGAACTTGATGACACTATTTGGTGATGGGAGACGCAGGGCTGGGAATTTTCTCCCACTCTTTAATGTAGAGCAGGAGCTGCAGGTGAGACGCAGTAGGGCCTCACCCCATGGGTGAGTCCATAGCCCTAGAGCTCAGCTGTGTCTGCAGCGAGGCTGTCTGTGAACCTGAGCCCACGGAAACTCTCCCTGCTTTGCATCCGCTCCCAAAGCTTCCTCCAAACACCTGCTGACAGGTACATGTGCCTCTGCGTTCACACCTCCAGTACTTCAGGACATGCCATATACCATGTGGCGTGGTGCTCAGGAGTTTGAATAAATGACTTGAGGTGCGAGGCCCATCACTTACTCCTGCCCTTGTCTCCAGCCCCTTGGCAAACTGTTAGGTCCAGGAGGGCCTAGGTGGCTTCTCCACTGCTCAGTGGCTGCTGTGTGCATGGGCTAGCTCAGCATCCGCTTCTCTTCCTTCTTGTTTTCAGGCCAACCGGGACGCTGTGCTGAGCAGGATACCTGAGCACAAGAGCGACCGTCTCATCAGCCTGCAGAGTGCGTCCGTGGTCTACGACTTACTGACCATCGCTCTCGGGAGGAGAGGCCAGTACGAGATGCTGTCGGAGGTATGGCCGCTGCGGCTCGTGGGCTTCCAGGGGGCGGTTGGTGGTTGTGGGATGACCCCAGGGAAGGGCTATGAGACCCAGTCTTGGGTCCCCTTCCATCTCTGGTGGCCTCATAACCCCAGGCCAGTCATTTAACTTTGGTTTCCTCCTCTGGAGATGGGCATTGGGATAAATGATGAGGTAGCAGAATTGATCTGCAGTCTCTTAGCACCTGGCGGCCCATAATCCACCAGGCTGTGAGTTTGTGTGTGAGGGAAGGCAGGCATTTCCAAGCAGTGTCTCTTTCAGTTAATTTCCATCATAACCAAAAATCTTCCATCTGTGATATCAATTTCCTTATAAAACAGGTTTCGTTTAAAATATCCATGCAGCTCCCGATGAAATGGCAATTTCGGGCACAGTGTGTCATCAGGTTAGCCAGTAGACTATTCCACAGAAAGTAAACACTGTCTTCATTTACAGCCTTCTATTTGTTCAGAAGGGATCCTGGTGGATTCCAGATCTTGTGCAAGGTGCTGTCGTCTTCTCACTCCTTCAGTTTCTAAGAAGCGCTTAGGATGGAAGCTTGACTGCTTCAGTTTCAAATGAAGCTGCTTAATCTTGGGCGAAGGTCGTGTGTTATTAGGTTGCCTCCCAGAAAACCAGATCCCACCATGGAAAGGCTAAATAAGTAACGAGATCATTTTATCTTCTCTTTAGCAAAATAAAGAGAAAGAGAGAGAGAGAGAGAGACAACCTATTTTGTTAAAAGGAACTTTTCCATGTTATTTATCTTTCTCTTTCTAAATTTATACCCATTGCAACAGCCTCTGGGCACGAGGACAGGGAGTGAAATACAGTAACAGATTGGCTGAAACCAGATAAGTGGCCGACTCACCCTGCAGCCTGCCAGTGCGTCGCCACACTGGGCAGGAGCCTTGGGGAACAGATGAGCCTGCGTGGCTTGAGTCTTTTTTTAGTCTTTGGTTTGGTGATTATACAGGGCAATGGTTACTCAGCCTTCAGGGAAAAAAAAAAAAGGCGAACCCCCCCACAATCCGGCGAGATACATCAGTACGTGCCCCGTCACGTGTGGCCCACTCCCGGCACTCCGTCCAGGCTTCAGGTGGGCCCAGATTGTTCGGTCTGCACCCCCTTTGGGTGCCCTGATTTCCTGGACCCCCTCCTCCCAACCAGCTTAGTTTCTGTGTCTACGTGAAGCCCATCTGTGGGGACAGTGCCACCCAGCTCATAGTTGAATTCTTTTAAGATGATTTTTTTTCCTCCAGACAAACCACTGAGCACCTCTCTAGGTCTAGGGGTGAGAGTGGTGTGCATGTCTATGTCCATCCCATCGTGTGGCAATGTCCCCTTTCCCCAGCTGGACATTTCCTACCTGTAAAACAGGACTGAGGAGCTTGAGGGGGCTGGCCCGGGAGGCTGGCTGGATGGCCCCTGCCCACGGGTTTCTCATCATTCCACGAATGACTCTAGGGGGCGGCTGTCACCTCCGCAGATTTGTCCGCAGGCCGCACCTCTCACGGCACACGGTCCTAGGACCTTGCTTTCACCGAGATGACTTCCGTCTTGATATCCCACGTAGCTTCCATCTTGTGGTGACAACCTGATACCCAAGTCGCCACGATTCAGAGCTCTGTCCCACAAGTCGTGTTTTAAATAGCGGAGACAGGCCGGGCGCTGTGGCTCACGCCTGTAATCCTAGCTCTTGGGAGGCCGAGGCGGGCGGATTGCTCAAGGTCAGGAGTTCAAAACCAGCCTGAGCAAGAGCGAGACCCCGTCTCTACTATAAACAGAAAGAAATTAATTGGCCAACTGATATATATATAAAAAAAAAAAAATTAGCCGGGCATGGTGGCACATGCCTGTAGTCCCAGCTACTCGGGAGGCTGAGGCAGAAGGATCGCTTGAGCCCAGGAGTTTGAGGTTGCTGTGAGCTAGGCTGACGCCAGGGCACTCACTCTAGCCTGGACAACAAAAGTGAGACTCTGTCTCAAAAAAAAAATAAATAAATAAATAAATAAATAGCGGAGACAGTGCCAAAGATGGACTCAGAGATGTCACAGTGGAGGGTGGAAGGCAGGGGCATTTATCACTGTGTTTCCCCTGGGGCGTTTTGAATTTTGTGTCCCATCTGTGTTTTATCTATTAAAAATATAAGTCAATTGATAAAATATGGTGAACGTTTATTTTATTTATTTTCTTTTTTTTTTTGAGACAGAGTCTCACTCTGTTGCCCAGGCTAGAGTGAGTGCCGTGGCATCAGCCTAGCTCACAGCAACCTCAAACTCCTGGGCTCAGGCAATCCTTCTGTCTCAGCCTCCCAAGTAGCTGGGACTACAGGCATGCACCACCATGCCCGACTAATTTTTTCTGTATATATATTTTTAGTTGGCCAATTAATTTCTTTCTATTTTTAGTAGAGACGGGGTCTCGCTCTTGCTCAGGCTGGTTTCAAACTCCTGACCTTGAGCGATCCTCCCACCTCGGCCTCCCAGAGTGCTAGGATTACAGGCATCAGCCACCACGCCCGGCTGAGTGTTTATTTCTTAGAGAACATTTATTTCTTCAAAACAGCCAGGGGCTGTGATTGAGGCTGGGGCTACAGCCATGAACAGGGTGTGGCCCCTGCCGACCAACCGGGATGGCAGCGCACAGCCGCCCGGGACGGCCGCCCCTGGAGGGCCCCGCACAGCTTCCACGCCCATCAGTAGAGGGGACAGGGCACATGGCTTCAGCCTTTCTTGCTCTTTCTGCACAGGCGTTTGGAGCTTCCCTGAGCACAGACGGCCACGCTGTCTCAGACCCTCCCACTAAAACAGTCGTCACAGGAAAAGTGAAGCCTCACAGCAGCTCGGGGCAGCCTGGCCCATCTTCACTGGGGTTTTTCTGCACCTGTTTGGCTTTTTTGTTGTTGTTTGTTCTCATCTGCCCTTCCGTTTTCTCAGGACTTTTAAGTTAAAAGGGTAACTGGATATTTTTTAACTGAAGTAAAACTCATGTGAACCTAAACATTTTAAAGCGTGTAATTCAGTGGCACTTAGTACGTTCACCCTGTGCTGCAGCCACCGCCTCTAGTTCCAAAACATTTCCATCACCCTAAAAGGAAGCCCCATACCCATTAGGCAGTCACCCCCCATTCCTCACACCTCCCAACCCCCATTCCTGTCAACTACTAACCTGCTTTCTGTCTCAGTGGATTTACCTATTTTGGGCATTTATATAAATATCCAATATGTGACCTTTTGTGTCTGGCTTCTTTCACTTAGTGCGTTTTCAGGGTTATACACATTGTAGCTTATATCAATATTTCATTCCTTTTCATGGAAGAATAATATTCCCTTATACGGATACACCACAATTTGTTTTCTCATTCATTAGTTGATGGATATTTGGGTTGTTTCCACCTTTTGGCCACACTGTGAATAGTGTTGCTGTGAGAGTAACTAGATTTTAAACTTCCCATATTACTTTCCTTTGGGCCCCACAAGTGTCAGTGATTGTCACTGTTACCAGTCACTGTGTATTACAGTTCCCCGTCTTCGCCGCCAGCACCATCGCCAGGGCAACCTCTCTATGACACAGCCACGGGCATGTGTCAGAAATATTCGATGGCACCCTCTTCTTTTTTTTCTCTTTTTTTATTTTGTTTTGCTTTCCTTTCCCACCATAATGAGATTGATTCCATTGTTTGTCTTTCTGCCACATGCAGCAGCCTTGCATGCACCTTAAAGGATCAGGCGATACATGCAAATACAGAAAAGTCCCTTATAATCCAGCTATCCTGAGACAGTTGACTATCCATTGACATTTTAGAGACCATCTTTACATCCGTCTTTATGAATAAATGCATGTGCATTATGTAAGTTTTATGGAATGGGATAGTATCCTACACATTTTATTGTAGATATTCCCCATCTCTTGTCTCCCTTCTGTTGGCATCCGACCTATCGCTGCACCCTCCACCCCAGACCCGGTCATCGGCATAGTATGTCCGGGATCGTGGGCTGTAGAGTCAGAGAGCTTTGGTTTGAGTTCTGGATCTGCCACTTAACAGTTGTGTGATCCTGGGCAAGTCATTAACCTCCTATGCCTCAGTTTCTTTTCCTGTAAAATAGGGCTAATAATTGTGTGTGTCTCAGACAGTGTGAGGGTTATATTTGTTAATCTATGTAGAGTACTCAGAACAGAGCCCAGGACACAGAGCCCGTAAAATGGCAGCTGTGTGCTGCTGCTGCTGCTACTGCAGTTATTGCCACTGTATACACCAGGCGTTACCAGGCACTGGGGACACAACAAAATACGCAGTAAAGATCTTTTGCCTTCAAGAAATTTCCATTCTAGTTAGGGAGGCCAGGCAGAAACACATGAAAAGGTAACCAAACTAGAGAAGACTTACTAGTGCAAGGCACGTTCATTGCCAGCTGAATGGAATAGGCCAATTGCAGCAGAGTTTGCAGGTTGGGAGTTCCAGTATGAGATTACGAGCAGCTCGTATATATGAACTGGATCTTTAAGGTCTGCTAGGCATTAAATAGTCTTGAGAGAGACACCCTCCGTTCTCAGGCTGGGAGATGTGAAGGCCTTGGGCTGAGGCACTGGGAAGCCAGGGCTTGCTCTCAGAGAGGAGTGGTGGGAGAGGATCTTGGAGAGAAGGGGAGGGGCCCAGTTGTCAGCACCACCAGCTGTGCCCCTCGCTGATGCCATCCAGCCACTTTCACCCTGTGGCTGGTCTGTGAGTAGGTCCTCTCTGCCTCAGAAACCTGGCTGGATCTTCCTATACACGGGTGGGGCCTTTTGTGAACACAAGTGGCAGCAACCATGAGTCTGCCGTGGGTGAAGAGGTCTTCCCTCCTTCTCACCCTGCCCTCGTACTTTCCTTTCTCTCGTCCTCAGCTGACATCAGCTTTTGTGCATCAGAACCAGACATGCTTTCTTTCTTCCTGGCTCCTCTCTTTGGCTGGCCTGGGCCCACAGGCACCACAGAGGGGACAGGGGTGCCT